TTGATTTTTTTTAAAATATCATATTGATGATTTGTGAAAATAAATAAGCCATAGAGATGATATTAGCAATCTATTGAAGCATAATAGGCTCGCCTTCCTCTTGCCTCCTACCTACCTCCTACACCAACAAGAATCAATAAAGGTTAAGTGCAATGTTAAATCTTCATTTATCCATTTTATTAGTGCATTATATTTATTTGTCACTGTTTTCTGTATGTAAATCTATATTTAATCTTTAAAGAAATTATTTTTTGTTAATACTTTTGGCTGTCTGAAAAGGATTAATTGGGTTTCCAATATTTCTTATGGGGAAAATAGATTCGCCAATCATGAATTTTGCCAGTCGGCAGACTTTCTGAAACGAATTAATCACAAAACTTGGGGGTCCACTGTACTTCAGACAGCTGGAGTTAAAAACAATGCAACTACAATATGCATTAACATCTTTAGCTATTATGGGCAAGTTAAAGTAAGAGCAAATCCCACCACTGAAGTTATAGAGGTATTCAAGAGTTAATATGCCTATTGAATATAACAGTTCTGGCTGAAAGTATGTTCATTTGTTCACAGTTACATCAGTAGTACAGGCTATCTCAAACTACTAACATTTGTAGATGAAATTAAGTCCACTTCAAGTACTGAGTTACTGCTGCAACCAGGGCTAAATAAAACTAACACTTGCAGCTGTAATCAAGGTTAAAATATTGAGAGTTAAAAGTACCATTAAAGATAACTTCAATGTACCTGTTCTGACAGTGCTTACTACACGAGAGTTAAGTCAGTGTTCATTTAAACATTGAGGAAGTAATGAGCTAAAGAGAAAGAATACGAGACGAAGTCTTCACGTCAATGGAACAATGAATAATAGTAATACATATTTTTTTTTATTTTCAACAAACCAGCCGTATCCCACCGAGGCAGGGTGGCCCAAAAAGAAAAACAAAAGTTTCTCTTTTCAAATTTAGTAATTTATACAGGAGAAGGGGTTACTAGCCCCTTGCTCCCAGTAATACATATGATAATGGCAAATAAAATACTATTAAGCATAGACAGGGTAGACAAAAGTAAGCTCTTGACCACTGATGAAACAAGAAAAAGGGTAACAGTTGAAAAATAAACATTTAAATGAGCCACTGGATAATAAATATTAAAATGAGCCATTATAAGTGATAAAAATGTGGAATAAGCTGAGAAATAGCAGAGTACAAGCAGACTGCTTATAGGGATTCAAAAATGAATATGACTGCTCAATCACAGCAGTCAGTTAAAAGCTAAGAGGCTGAACCAGGAGCTAGAGCTGACCCTTCCCCTTGCAACTAAAAAAAAAAAATAGACAATTTCACACATGGAAAATAGTAAAAGGGCCTTGAAATACAATATCTGTTACCTTAAAGTGTGTCCCCTGAAGCACAAACAGAATAACGCCAGCAGTGCAGGCTAAGCGTGTAAACATAGGTGTAGCAGTATAGCATTCAGCAACCTACCACATACACATCTAAAACACACACACAGTATTTTGCACAGAGCCCAAAACATGCAGCACCTGTTTTGGAAACCTTGTCTAAGAAAAGAAAGTGACACTTAAAAGTACAAAGGAGTGTTTCCAGACTGGTGCCAGAGTTTAAGGGTGTCAGCTATGAAGAAAGATTGCAAGTACTACTAGTTTTTATATCACTAGAGGAATGATGAACAAGAGAGGATAAGTGACTTATGAAATATCTATGGGCACAGAATGTAGATTAAGACAAAAATCTTTACTAGGAATAAAACAAGAAAAGAAGGGCATTGTTGGAAATTACACATCCAATTTTTAAAATTAACACACCAGCCTTCTCCCACTAGGGTAATATGACCCCCCCACCAAAGAAAAGAAAAAGAAGAAACACATTCACCATTATTCATTCAATCACTGTCTTGCCAAAATCATGCTGATGCCACACTTCAGATGACCCTCTGAACTGCAACACCCTCGCCCCTCCTTTGTAGTGCAGGAGCCATTAATATGAAAACATTTCCTCAACACAAGAGTGATAAAGTGGAATGAGCTCAATAACAGCACGGTGGAAGGCAACTCCATACAAGGGCTCAAAAACATATCACAAGGCTGCTTTAAGTCACATGGTTGAAATCTATGAAACCAAGAGTTTATGAGCTCAGTACCTGCAAACTTGGATAATTATAAAGTGAAATCCTATCAAACTTTTGTTTCAAGTCTGCATTCTCTTATAAAATATGCAAGTGCAATAATTATGGCAAAACTACTAAAATTACTCTGCGGAGCATATCCCAATCATGGTATAAACTTCTTGACAAGTGATACACAAACAAGTGGAAACTTGGGTGACCCACCTCTGAAGAGTCTTCCATTGATGTGTTACGAGAGAGGACACACCAACCCTGAGGATGAACTTGCAAAGAATGGATTACTTCTGCCTCATTGGAAGGCGGAAAATCAGAGATGAATTCAATTCGGTTCCGCTGAGCACAAAAGAGGTGTGTGAACATTGCAGCTTGAGGGAGTGGAGTGTTGGACAGCTGCATCAAACGGTACATGTTGGGCTGGAAAACAACATACACTGTATATTAATAAGCACAAAGAATTATAGTCTAAAGATGATCAACCTGTCAACATTTAATCAAAACCACTGCATTAAGCATAAACATTTAAGTGGAATAGGTATTCAAATCAAAGGAGGCCATCCATGTCACACTACCTGAAACCACACTATCATCATCATTCAAATAATGCTTGAAATATACAAATGTACCATTATTGTTTAATCCATCATATTTTTACATAGTTAGAAGTGTTTAAAAAAATTTCAGACATCTACTGGTACATGAAAATGTATGAGTGAATGCAATGAAAGAAAAAGTTTGGCACATCATTAACATTAACTGAGTGAAGTGGCTTCATATCAAGAAGTAAAATAATAGAAGTCCTCAGGGTGTTCTTCAACTTTATTATATCCTTGGTTAGGCCTCATTTAGATTATGCTGCACAGTTCTGGTCACCACATTACAGAATGGACATAAATGCACTGGAAAACGTACAGAGGAGGATGACAAAGCTGATCTCATGTATCAGAAATCTTCCCTATGAGGACAGACTGAGGGCCCTGAATCTGCACTCTCTAGAAAGGCGTAGAATTAGGGGGGGGATATGACTGAGGTGTATAAATGGAAAACAGGAATAAATAAAGGGGATGTAAATAGTGTGCTGAAAATATCCAGCCAAGACAGGACTCACAGCAATGGTTTCAAGTTGGAAAAGTTCAGATTCAGAAAGGACATAGGAAGCACTGGTTTGGTAATAGAGTTGTGGATGAGTGGAACAAACTCCCAAGTACCGTTATAGAAGCTAAGACCTTGTGTAGTTTTAAAAATAGGTTGGATAAATACATGAGTGAGTGTGAGTTGGACCTGACTAGCTTGTGCTACCAAGTCTGGTGCCATGCTCCTTCCTTAAGTGGAAGTGACCTGACTAGGTGGTCACTGTTCTAGGGCAGGGGGTGGCATGGACCTGCTTTGCATGGGTCAATAGGCCTGTTGCAGTGTTCCTTCTTTCTTATGTTCTTAAGTGAAAAGCTACTTCAGCAGAAAGATGAAATAACAGATACATAAAAAAATAAAAATAAAAGAGAAACCTCTATATTTCAGCTTCAGGCAGATATCCTCTTCAGTGGATATATGACTGAAGTTGAAATACATAATCTTTTCCACTTATTGTTACATTTTCATGCAAAAGTTTTTCTTCACCTTTCATATGTAAGCATTCATGAAACTTTCATCCATGTAGTATTAACAAAACAGTTTACTCTACAAAATAAAAGCAGAAATTAAGCCAGTAGGTTGGTTATTTATATTGTACCTACTACATCTAATCCTTGCTTTTCGGGTCAAAATTGGCTATGGCAAACCTATATAATAATACTGACAATCCTCACCAATAAACTGAAAAGTTCTACATAATTATTTAAGATGATAAGCCTCACCCTTATTAAAAAAAAAAAGAAACGGCTGATATTAAAAATGAATGACTGAATTCATTCAGTTTTCGCAAACTCATCAGCCCTTTAATACTTTTATTAACTCCACACTTTCTCCTAATTTCCACACTCCAAATTCTCTGCATAATATTTACAGCACACATTGCCCTTAGACAGGACATCTCCACTGCCTCCAACCACCTCCTCATTGCAGCATTTACAACCCAAGCTTCACACCCATATAAGAGTGTTGGTACCACTATACTTTCATACATTCCCTTCTTTGCCTCCTTAGATAATGTTTTTTGTCTCCACATATACCTCAATGCACCACTCACCTTTTTTCCATCATCAATTCTATGGTTAACCTCATCCTTCATAAACCCATCTGCTGACACATCAACTCCCAAATATCTGAAAACATTCACTTCTTGCATACTCCCTCTCTCCAATGTGATATCCAATTTTTCTTTATCTAAATCATTTGATACCCTCATCACCCTACTCTTATCTACGTTCACTTTCAACTTTCTACCTTTACATACCCTCCCAAACTCGGTGGTAATATAACCTCTGGGGTGATTACCACAGAGGGAAAATTCTGCCTTTTTCAGGGGTAACTAGCAAGTGGCACTGATTATTATTATTCATTGTTATGAACATGGCAATTATTGGCTGCTTGATGAAGTTAAGTCAACCAATGTGAGTGCTGAGTTTGGCGGAAGCAACCCGAGTATGTGGCAGGAGGTTTGCTTAGTCAATAGGTTGACTGTAAGCAGCCGCACATTTTTAATTGGTTGTTTTAAATGTGTTTGAGTAATCTGCACTATTCTGATAGGCTGTTTATATAAACCTGCTACCAGCAAATATCGACATAATAATAGTAAATATCAGCCTGCTACCATCAGACAGAAAATATTGCTGGAACAAATGTATAAATCTTCAAGAGGAAACTAAATCATTACCTCCTTCAAGTGCCAAATCAACCAGGCTGTGATGACCTTGTGAGCGAGCAAGCCATGAGAGTAGGAAAAACTCTCGAAACAAGTCACAGGTCATTTATGTTACCTTGCTGTACTCACCCATTTGTACCAGGGAAATATCGAGAGAACATAAATTATTGAGGAGGCGGTTAGAGGCAGTGGAGATGACCTGTCTAAGGGCAATGTGTGGTGTAAATATTATGCAGAAAATTCAGAGTGTGGAAATTAGGAGAAGGTGTGGAGTTAATAAAAGTATTAGTCAGAGGGCTGACGAGGGGTTGTTAAGGTGGTTTGGTCATTTAGAGAGAATGGATCAAAGTAGAATGACATGGAGAGCGTATAAATCTGTAGGGGAAGGAAGGAGGGGTAGGGGTCACCCTCGAAAAGGTTGGAGGGAGAGGGTAAAGGAGGTTTTGTGGGCGAAGGGCTTGGACTTTCAGCAAGCGTGCATGAGCGTGTTAGATAGGAGTGAATGGAGACGAATGGTACTTGGGACCTGACGAGATGTTGGAGTGTGAGCAGGGTAATATTTAGTGAAGGGATTCAGGGAAACTGGTTATTTTTATATAGCCGGACTTGAGTCCTGGAAATGGGAAGTACAATGCCTGCACTTTAAAGGAGGGGTTTGGGATATTGGCAGTTTGGAGGGATATGTTGTGTTTCTTTATACGTATATGCTTCTAAACTGTTGTGTTATGAGCACCTCTGCAAAAACAGTGATTATGTGTGAGTGAGGTGAAAGTGTTGAATGATGAAAATATTCTCTTTTTGGGGATTTTCTTTCTTTTTTGGGTCACCCTGCCTTGGTGGGAGACAGCCAACTTGTTGAAGAAAAAAAAAAAAAAACCAACCTTAAAATCCTGAAGGTCTTGTGAGAGATGTTCCAGACTCAGATTGTGAACCAGTACCATGTAGCCACCTGTGGTGCACATTACTAATTTACTGCAGTCGGGGCTAAGCCGCATTCGCATCAACCCTTGCATTTTGAACAGCTCTGTTGATAGCAAGCCTTCCTCTGTGTACCTGATAAAGTCACTTATTTACAAAATGGTTCTCCAAATACCTGAAAAACGTAATGCATTTATTTTACAAATGGTTCCTTTCCATGTGCTATATCACATACGAATGATGAGTGGGTTAACCTTAGAAAAAATTATCCCAAGGAAACCAAACTCAATGTTTCCAAGTAGTTTAAGGCATTTGCTGATGAATTTCAAATTTTAGCTACAATATACATATACTATAAATAACAGAATTGATGCTATATTGTTTAGAAACATGTAAATTTTCATAACTTTTAATCGAACTTGTTCTCTAAACTACATTGTAAGAGGAAAAAATCTACAATATTCTACAGATATTTATGATTCACTGTTAACCCTCAGAGCTCCTGAACCATTTGCCTACAGAAAAAGGTAAGGACCTTCATGTTGTTGTAGTCAACTTACAAATGAAAAGCAAAGTGCTAAATCAATAAATCACAGAGACTATATAGGCGAGTACAAACAGAAAGCAAGTCTGTCTCGGGCTCAGCAGATGGTGGATCAAGCCTTCACTACGTCTTGCGCTGAATCACCCACACTATTATTATTATCATAAGTTTGGCTTTAAATCCTGTCATCAAATATTCATATCTTAAATCTCTCTCTTTCATACATTACACTCTTAATATGTATACAGTCTCTCCTCACTTAACAGGGTTCCATTTCTAAGACTAGGCCAGTAAGCGAATTGGTTGTTAAGCAAGGAACATACTGTACTGGTAGTGGGTTTGTGTCAACCATCTTTTTTATTGTCACCTTAGCACAATTTATAACATTTTTAGTATATTTTTAAAAGTTTATACAGTAGTGTACTGTATACTCTAATAAAAAGAATAGAGGAAATCAGCTCTAATATACATAACTTAGGCTTGCACACTGGTTGGAGAACTGGTTGTAAGTCCAAGCGGTCGGTAAATGAGTACATACGTTGCTAAGTGAGGAGAGGCAGTATATACATGGGAGACCTTCGTCCAACAGTAGTTTGCCCAAATTAATAACAAACAACATTTTATTTGATAATTTTCTTAATATTACTGAAATATCACCACACTTATTCATGCTCAGTACACAATTTACCCATTAATATCCCATCCAAGGATCTTGCCATCAAAGCCCGAAGTGACCAGGATTCCATCAGCAGCTGAATACTCAATGTTCTTGACCCAATTGCTGTGACCTTGTAGAAGCCGGATACGCCTCTTGAGATTGCGAACATCCCACAGTGCTACTGTGTGGTCGTCACTGCACGAAGCAAACACACGCGAATCTAGGAATCTGTGATAAATTGCAATAAGTTACCTCAATGATGATCAACATCAACTTCCTGTAGTACAGAAATACAGTATGTATGTACCTCATTCAAAATTTCTTAATTTGAATTTTCACAGTAAAACAAAAATTTCTGGATTTCAATTTACATTTCAGACAAGCCAACAAAAAGGAAAAAAAAAAAAACTTTCCAAATAAGAGAGCAAGTGTTTTTTTGAGATATTTCAAGAATATGATATGCCAACTGTAATCTTTAGCTACTTAAGTACACAACTAGGCAGATATTATCTGATGAGATTTTAACCATTTTTACCTTGTTGTGCAGTCACATGACTCAAGCAACTGTGTCCGACATTTTGGTGATCAGACACTCCTTTTTTCGCTCAACAGCCATCGGGTGTGATCAAGTTAAAACACCTAAACTTATAAGTGTTATGTCATACAAATGTCATTAGTACACACAGTATTTTTTAACACACCGGCAGTTTTTCACTAAGGTAGGTTGACTCAGCTATAAGGAAACACATTCACCATCAATTATTCAATAGGTGTCTAGCACGAAGTACACACACATCACAATTTAATAACACTCCATACTGGAAAATCCTCCACCTCTCCTTCAGTGCTGAGACTGGACTTTCAACTCCCAGGACTCGAGAGCAGATAACCAGTTTTGCCGACTCCCATGATAAATATTATCTTGCTCACAAACTAACAACATATAAAGCCATAAAGACCATTTGTCTACACTTGTTCTGCTCTTAACAAGCTCACACATGGCTGCTAGATGCTCCAGTCCCTAGCACTCAAAACTTCCTTTACCCTCCTCCCCTCAATCCTTCTTTGAACAACCCCTATATAAATGAAACAACAGCCAGCTTAATTGTTTCCAACTCCCTAGCTCATCAAGTATAAATATGTACAGTAGAACCCCCATACCCGCAGATTCGGTTTCCACGGTCTCAGTTATCCATGGTATACCTTGGCCTGAAAATAAGCCTTAATTTTCTTTAAAAATGACACAAAATGCAAAATTAGTGATGGTGGCAATTCTTCAAAGCCTAAGACAAGCTGTGAAGTTCTTGCCATCAGCAAAAAAGTGATGATTCTTTACTTAATACAACAAGAAAAAATATTGTATGCTGAGGTCGCTAAGATGCATGGTAAGAATGAATCTTCCATTTGTGAAGCATGTATAATAATGTACATGTATTTTATTATTATTTACTGTTGGTAATGCCTTATTGTGTGTAATTTTTCAATTAAACTTTATCACAGGTATGTATGCAAATGAAAAACAACTTATATGAAAGGTTTGCTACTATCCACGGTTTCGGGTATCCGCAGTAGGTCTTGAAATGTATCACCCGTGGATACAGGGGGACTACTGTACACCAAAACGTACATGTCTCTCAGTGTATAAACAACGAGTTTATCTGAATTCCTATTTTAAGGATTATTCTTAACTGGTGATTGAGAGGTAACATGCTGCCTTAATGACCTTCATATAGCCGACAGGCTATAAACCCAATTAACCAACCAGTCATCCTCACTAAAATACTTGCTCCAAACAACTTGAAGTTTAAATGTACCATTCTTATGTATGAGGCCAAATACAGGTATGCAAAAATTGAAAAATGGTTTTGAGTTCAATTCTTGTGGATTCCCTTTAACATACACCTCCTAGAAGTTGATGCCTCGGGTAAACTAGCCCTAAACAAAGAGAATATCAAATATAATTTAATGTTCTTAAATGGAAGTTTTTAAATCATTGTTACAACAGAACTAACAAATGAGTCTGAAGTAGAACAAAACAGATAGGAACTAGTGAATCAATTGCCAATCACAATGAAATGTGTTAAGTAAAGCAAGTTTATGAATAAAGTTACAAGATTCAGTAGATTGAAAAAGCACTGTCACTACTAGATTAAGGCTAGAGTATACTGAAGTTAAGACTGTATAGAGATGTCAGTCATATGAAATGCAAAGTATGTGGACAGAGACAGGGTCATACACTGAAACATTATATTATAGTGCCTAAACATCTGACCATTTAGACACACATCCAAGAAGCTCTACAGGAAATAGTAAATCGCTTCTTTGCTAATAGTATCTGAAAACTTTTGACTGTATCTACACTTTGCACTGACTAGATGAATGAACTTATTTGACTGCACTGTAATATAGTAAGTGACCAATGTTTATAGTGGTAATGATATTCTTTTCAAGACTGAATTTGCATATTGCACTGTGTAGATGATTAGCAACAAAACTATTACAGTACATATATGAAATAACTAATATCTTAATGATGTAACCATGTCAAGTGGGTTTTGACAAGAACCCATTGTTACCCTGTGATCTCTTTCTTGTACTACTGCTCACAGATTGAGCCACTGGTGTATAATATATAGAAGCCCTGGCAGCACAAAGTAAGCACAGCAGAGTGTTTTGTTTCATGTCACAGTATGTAATATTATACTGTGTGGAAGAACACTCCAGTAACTGCTGGAATGTTATATCCTGTTTAAGGAACTCTAGTTAATGTATCAACACTTGAATAATAATTATTAGATTTGTACATACTGTATATTATTATTAAAAAGTACTACAGTAATGTATAGTATTATGGCTAAGGTAAACACTTTTTTTTTTTAACAATTCACGAGAGACTAAACGCAACATCAATGGCACAAACTCAACCACCAATATGCCAGATGCTCACCATGATGTTACATGCAAACTCTCCATATTTCTTTATTAAAATGAGTGTTATTATAGTTAAGTAATGTACAAGACCAACTGTCTAAGATTAATACTACTTCCAAGGCAAAGACAATATCATAAGGATATCGGGAAGTTGAATAGACCAAAATTGCGTAAAAGTAAAGCCTGTCACTTTTCTTAAACTTGACAGCAAAAAATAAAAAAACACTGACACATGCAAAATTAATTTAAATACTAATGATTAAAATTTCAATAACTACTGCAGCAAGAGGTAGGCCACAGTAATTTTTGAAGTACATATTTAATGCTAACATTTGGCTGTTTGGAGGGACATCTAAACTGTCGTATCCGAGTGCCTCTGCAAAGATATGGCGAGGGTTTTGGGGTCAATGCCCCTGTAGCCTGGTCTGAGACTAGGCCTTGTGGTAGATCAGGGTCTGATCAACCAGGCTGTTACTACTGATTGCATGCAAACTAACATATGAACCACAGCCTGGCTGGTCAGGTACTGACTTTAGGTGCATGTCCAGTGCCTTGTTGAAGACAGCCAGGGGTCTATTGGTAATCCCCCTTATGTATGCTGGGACACAGTTGAACAGTCTTCAGTCCCTGACGCTTATTGTGTTGTCTCTCAGTGTACTCGTGGCACCCCTGCTTTTCATTGGGGGAATGTTGCATCTCCTGCAGAGACTTTTGCTTTCATAGGGAGTGATTTTCATGTACAAGTTTGGTACTGATCCCCCTACGATTTTCCAAGTGTATATTATGTATCTCTCTCACCTGCATTCCAGGGAATGCAAATCAAGGGACTTCAACCATTCCCACCAATTTAGATGTTTTATTGTACTATGTGTGCCGTGAAATTCTCTGTACACTCTCCAGGTCAGCAATTTCGTCTGCCTTGAAGGGGGCAGTTAGTGTACATCAGTATTCCAGCCTAGAGAGAACAAGCGATTTGAAGAGAATCATCATGGGCTTGGTGTCCCTAGTTTTGAAGGTTCTCATTATCCATCCTATCATGTGGTAGATACATTGTTGTGGTCTTTGATGGTGAGATCCTCTGACATTGCCACTCCAAGGTCCTTCACATTACTTTTTCACTCTATTATATGGTTAGAATTTGTTGTAATACCCAATACAGTTTTAATTTCCTCAAGTTTTCCATATCTGAGTAGTTGAAATTTCTCTTCATTAAACTTCATATTGTTTTGTTTTTTGTGTCTTCAATGGAGGATAATGTATGAACGATGGTGAAAGTGTTGAACGATGATGAAAGTTTTTTCTTTCTTTTTGGGTTTTTCTTTCTCTTTTGGGTCACCCAGCCTCGGTGGGAAACGGCCAATGTATAAAAAAAAAAAAAAAAAAAACAGGAAAATAAGCAGTGACCAAACCTGTCCAGAATTTTTTAGAAAATATAAATATTCTCCTAGATAAAACTGAAAAGTTTAAATAATTAAAACATAGGCTTTAAAAGCACGCAAAGTACAGTGCAGCACTGACAACGATATTTTCAGTGTGGAGTTTCTTTTTTATCTGAAAGAGAGTGGTATGTGATTGTAAAACATGTACCCAGTACAGTGCCTATAATATACAGTATACCCTTCAAGGAGAGGGACAACCTTGATGGCAAATAAGAGCTCTAGATCCTGGGTATTGGAACTACTCTCCTCTTCCTCAAAGCATACCATTCCCCAGGTGCTGTATGACTATTATGCAATATTAGGTTTGGTGCTTCCCCATGAATCTAATATTAAGTGTGTCATTCACTACACAAAATATACTTACTTGATGCAATTGACACAATTATCATGAGCATGTGGTATATGATGAATCTGTCGTCTTGACAAAGGATCAAAGACCATGACGGCTCGCTGTTCACATGCAGCAACCAAGTGACTCCTGCAACAAAACTGACAATATCAAAACTAATATCTAAACATCAGTAGAAATCTATTTCAATTAAAATAACTCTAGTACACTGTAGTATTTTGATTTATTTAACAGTTATATATTGTGTATGGTACAATATGTGATTAGAGGTTCTCTTTTATTTAACCCTTAAATGGTCCAAACGTATATATACGTTTTTTCAGCATTTGAAAGTACATATGTAAAAAAATGTAGATCTTCTTTCTTGTTTTACATTTAAAAATGTGCAAAAAAACTTTTATCTACATTTTTTTTGTTATTTTTGAAAATATGTAAAAAAAAACGTAGATCTACTTTTGGAGCACTATGGATTTGAATGTCGATTTGTTTGGACCGTTTAAGGGTTAATATTTGAAGCTGAAATTTCCCCGAGAATTTTTTTTTAAATTTTATTTGCTAGGATACGGCCAATGTGTTGAAAGAAAGAAGAAAGTATATGAGCATATTTTACTTTTTCTTTACAGAAACAAAAATAGTTTTGGAAAAATTCTAGGACACTGTGCAGTGCAGTGCCTTTGTCTACACACCACAGTATTACGAGGTATGCCTCTGCTGGTAATTTGCTAAAGTAATTTCTTTTCCTAGCAGCTATTGTAATTTAAATCCTATTTTAGGGATTAAAGTATCCATGACTGGATGTCAAGGATACGTGACATCAAGTCAATAGGCTTTAAAACCAATAAAACACTACTGCGTGTACCTGTACAAGTAGCTTTCAATGATCGAGCTTATGATATGCTCGATTTAGGGAAATCTACAGATGACTTTACAAACTGTAACATTATGCACACTATATAAATTTGTACTGAATAATGTTTCTGAAGATTTTATTTGAGTTATTAACCAAAGGATTAGTAATCCATAATAATCCAAGTAAGCCAATCAATATGGCATATTTTCACTAGAATCCCACACAAGTCAATTAATTTCTAAGTGTCTATTTACTGCTAAGTAACAGAAGCTACAGGTGATAAGAGACTTGCTTATATGGCCTGTCGCATAGTGGAGTTTGACCCTGCATCCTCTCGGATGTGAACTGATCACACGCTAGCCACTGTAATAAGAGGTATACACATGCAGTATATATTTCATTTGAAAAAAATACCAATGAAAAATTTAAATACCTGACTTCTTTCATCTATCTATACACTCAAGTTCACTGTTTTTCATTGTGGTACTTTTTTTTATATTTGCAGTCACTTATGTTAATGTGATTTCTTCTCATATGTACAGTATAAAACAGTACATTATGTAAATTAAACCTAGGATAAAAAAAACATGCAATAATGCAAGTCTTTATGTTTATGCTTTTTCACTTATCTTTGTCCTCTACTTGTCACTCATTGCCTATTCTACTTAATTTAGGATAAACCAGATTATACCTGTGATATATCTTTGACGAGTTTTAAAAATTTTTCTACTCCTGGAGCTGGGCCCCGGGCCAAGCTTGTCAAGCCAAACATTTAGCATAAATGTAGCATTACAAAAAAGGCATTACACCTGCTCAAGTGCGATTCAAACAATGACTTAATGGTCATAAGTCACAGTGACTTTGTTGGGTTATTCTAGGTTAAATAATAAATGTGTTTATATAACTGTGCTTAGTGTAGTTAACCATTTTAAAAATACGTAATCCTGTCTGTAAAATCAATTGTATTTTACGTAAATAAAGATCATCATATGTTAATGATGACCTCAATACAAATATTTATCAATCCATCAATCACTCAAAAATAAGATAAGATACATTTCAACTTATTCATATCGTACAGGCGAAATTTTCAGTTGGCCAATTATTATTATATTCAAAGGAAAATGCTAAACCCATAGGGGCCATACAGCACCTGGGTAATGGAAATAATCTGCTCTGATTCAAGAAAGCAGAGGTAGGCTAAATTTCTTGGATCAATAACACTTCACCAAGATCAAAGCAATGAAAGACAATGTTAATAATAATAATAATAATAAATAATAATAATAATAATAATAATAATAATAATAATAATAATAATAAATAATAATAATAATAATAAATCTTTATTTCTACAAGTACTGTGGAACCTCGGTACTCAAACTTAATTCATTCCAGAAGGCTGTTCGACTGCTGATCATTCGGGGTATTGAGCGAATTCTTCCCAACCAATTTTCTTTTTGTTTGGCTGTTATCACTAATCTTTGTAGGCCCCATGGTGACTCATTTATACAAATAATATAAAAAAAAAATCCAAAAAATGCGAAGAAACATGAAACAGTTTACAGCGAAGTTTTTGGCAGGTTGTGTTTGTTTGGTTGAATGCCGGAGCCTTGTTAGAGTAGGGAGCTGTTTGGTACCGAGGTTCCACTGTACATGTACAAGCTACATATATAGGCCTAGATGACATCACTGACATACTACTATATAGAAAGCCCCTTGTTATGCAGAGCATTTTGGGCAAATTAGATCAATTTTGTCCCAGGATGCGACTCACACCAATCGACTAACACCCAGGCACCTATTTTATTGATCGGTGATCATTGGACAGCAGGTGTCTTAAGGAAACACGTCCTAATGTTTCCAGCTGTATCAGTGATCAACCCCCTGGACTTCAGTGTGTGAGCTAAGTGCACTAACCAATCGAGCTACAGGCCATATAAGATGATTTATTTTCCATTAGGATCCCCAAGCATTCTACATAGCGGTGATGGATCATATCAATTCAATCCCCAGCCGGTGGAACACTGGGCATGTTTCTTTATACCTGCTGTCCCTGTTCACCTAGCAGTAAGTAGGTACCTGGGTGTTAGCTGACTGGTGTGGGTTACATCCTGGGGGACAAAATTGAAGGACCCCAATGGAAATAAGACAGTCCTTGATGATGCACTGACTTTCTTGGGTCATCCTGGGTGGCTAACCCTCTGGGTTAAAACTCTGAACAATCTTAACTATTTTACCTGTGACTGGTTTCGAGAGTTTACCTATTCCTGCAGTCCAACCATGGTCCAGGTGGCATAATTTTATATTATTATAATCATGATGAAGCACTAATCCCATATGGGTCACACAGAGCCATGGGATCATTTTAAAAAAGGAAAACAATACCAAGAAATTGATGAATAAAGCACACTATAACAATTTAATAAAATAATAATAATAATCTTTATTCTACAAGTACATGACAACTTTCTTTTTTTGCTGAAATAAATGACATACACTATGTAGAAGTCCCTTGTTAGCAGAGCATTTTGGGAAAAATTGGGTAAATTTTTGTTGCCAGAATGTGACACACTACAGTCGACTAAAAAACTCAAATACGCCTATTTTACGCTAGGGAACGCAGGTGTCTTAACCCTTTTTAGGGCCCTCCCATTGATTACGGCCCTTCCCTTGAGGGTCCAAACCCCTAAATTTTGCCAAAAATTTAGCGCCGTCAAATTTAGGGGGAAAAAACACTCATAGGCCTCAGTGAAAAAGAACGGGTCTCGTGGGTGGGTGTGCGCCAAAAACAAAAAATCTGGGCCCTCCGCATAGCATTTTGGAACGCTGGCTCAGTTACCCTTGTTTCACCATGCCCCCGTCGCAATTCAGCTCTAAAACCCCCCCGGAAAATTGGGACTCCCCCTTTCCCTTCTGATAGTTCTGACACTGATGGAAGAAAAAATGAAGACGAATTCTAGGGGCTTTGATCATTATTGACCGAAAAAATGACCAGGTTATCGAAAATAGGGGGCAAAAAAACCCCCTGACGACCCCAAACCCTTTCCCTACCTCGGGTGGGGGCACCGTGACTCAGGGTGGGGTTTTTTTTTCCCTCATCGCAACAAAAACAATTTTTTTTCCCCCCGGGGGCCCAGGCCTCTGACTTCAGAAATGATGAGGGATAGTGACGGGGACTGGGGTTTTTTAAATTGCGCTCAACGATCATTCGAGTAGTGATATTTGAGGAATCATATTCACCAGGAAAGGGGCGTCGGTATTTTTCGCCGCCGCATGCGCCGGGTAGTGTACCCTATGCTTGCCCGGGGGAGGGAGTACCCCCGGAGAAACATCACGGAGTAAAATCCCGGGGCCCAACACCATTTTTTAGGTAGGGGATAGTGAGGATGTTTGTGGCTACCCCTTGGGGCATGTTTAGACCAAAAGGCACAGGGGATGGTGTTAGTGGGATGGTAGGGAAACCCCCAAATTGTGACTAAACCACCCAAACGTTTGGGACCCACGCGGCTGACTTTTCATTTGGGGGGACAAAGGGGGAGTGCCAGCCCCCACCCACCACAACCACAACCACCCCGCACAACCACCCCTATGATGTCCATACCCACCAGCAAACCGAAATCTGGGTTTGGGAAAAGAAAAACCCCCATTTTGTTCCCAAGCCTAAACCACTTTGAATGCTCTCAAGTGGAAATTCTACCTACTTGCCCCCCCTTTGGGAACCAGGGCCCCAATGAACGGGAAATTCTTTGAATTATTCTTTGACCACCCCTTAGAAATTTTGTCGGGGAAAGTAAAAGTTTTTTTGAGAAACACCAGGGGGCCAAAAACAATCTTATCACCAAAAGAAAGCTACACAGTGGAAAAGACCCCGGGTTGCAGAAATGTATTTGCTTTTTGCTACAATAAGCTTTTTGCCTCACGTCTATAAGCATAATAAAAAAGAAAAATATTGGTCCACAATGGGCTAATTTCTACCCCGGCTTCTTTTAAACAACCCCAGTGAACGGGTTTTCTTACTCTTACGTATGTTCATTTCCTGCCCAAAACCGGGTCTGACAAAGTGCCCGGGTTATACAAATAGAAATGTTTTCATGAACTAAAAAAAAAAGTTCAGCATATATTTTTAATCCATTAAAAGAATTTTTGTAATTGACGATCTTTTATTTTGTTAAAAAGGCAACTGTCATTCAAGCAGTATAAAACCGAGAAAAGGAAACGCTTTTTTTATAAAACTTTTTTGTACTCTGTGTTTGGGACATGGCCTGGTTTTTGGAAAAAGTTTTTATACACGGGAAAGTAAAACATTGAAAGATACCAAAAGATTTTAAATTGGGAAACTCAGGTGACGTAGGAGAAACATGATGGCACCTTATCTTGGTAAGGGGCTTACATTATAACCGATAACTGGTACACAACCCCATTACCAGTGATTTCATGCGAGTGAACAAAAAAAGATGTTGTGGCACAATGGGGTTCAATCGAAAAACCATATGCCCAGGCTCATGCGGGTTGGCACGTGGTGATGACGTGCAGGTGTTTACTGCCAAGGGAATAAATGGCATTATGGACATGACAAACAGATGTCACATTTTGAAAACCCAATTCAACCGGGAAATAAAATTTCAAAAACAGGGGCAAAGTTGTTTCGAGTGACTAATGAACGAAATTCCCAAAAACCAGTGAAAAGTGATTGATTATACACAAAACATGCCCCTTGGGTTACAAATGTGAAAATGCAGTTTTTGGTTTTGTTAATTTGTGTTGGGAAGAGTTAAAAAGGGGGTTACTTTAAATTTTTTCTTCCACCAAAGGACTTTTTAAATGCTAAATGCATATAATAAATACCAAATAAAGACGGCAACAGCCCCACCGAAAGGTAAAAATTTGTTTGTCTATTCAGACAACTCAAAATTAAAAGTACCGGGTAAGAACACCTGCTTTTCAAAAAGGTCCCCTTCCGAAATTCCCGGGAAAACCCCAAAAGCGTTTAAGGGAAGGTGATCATTTAAATAATAAAAATTTTTCCTTCAACTCAGAAGAAATTTGGGCTCAAAGAATGAAACGTTTTGTGCACAAACAAAACGACCCCAACAAAGACCAAAGACACTCGGTTTATTGTAAAAGGAATGTAATTTTCCCTGTGCATGGTGCCCTTTTTTTCAAGGAGTTCCACAAGCCCCCCGCATTTCAAAAAAACCATGTCCAGTGATTGTAAATATGTAAATAAATGATGAACTTTAAAAAAATTTTTACAAATTTGTGCATGTTTATTGTAAAAAAACAACAGTGGTAAACAATAAAAATGATAAGAAAATTTAGTGGGGGTTTTTGGTTCAATACAGTAGTTTTTATATATACATTAAATTCCCGTATTTGGGCTCTCAGGCCCCCAAAATTATTTGGAAAGAAAAAAATTGGAAAAGAAAAAAAAAAAACCCAAAAAAAAACCGCCCAAAAAATGTAATGCGCGTATGTGGGGAAATTCCCTCGATTTGCCCGCCACCAAAAATCATTTTTTACAAAATTTTTTGGGGACTGTATCTCGGAAGGGACTGGGTCAGAATTTTTTTTTTGTCTTTTTACCTTCACAAAAAATTCCTTTAATTCTGAAAAAAAAAAATATTTTTTTTTTTTTTTCAAAATTTTTTGACACTGGAGCACCCACTTCAGAATTTTTTGGGCCCTTGGGACCCGAAGGGGTTTAAAAAAACACCCCCACCGGGGACGAACCCAAGGACCCCCCAAAGTGTCGTTGATTTTTTTTGTTGAAATATTTTTCTTGCACAGGGTTCCTCAGTCAAAAGCAGGGAATAATACAAACATACATATACAAGCTTTGACCTCAAGCCCCCTGCTTTAAAAGGGAAGAACTGACCCCCCACCTACAAGGCTGGGGGCTGACACCAACCCATCAAGGCGAGGGACTGACTACCAGCTATCAAGGCTGGGGGGACTTTACAAACCCGCTATCAAGGGTAGGGACTGGCTACCGCAAACAAGGCGAAGGGGCTGACTACCAACTATCAAGGCCCGAGGGACTGGCCCCTTTACTATCAAGGCTGAGGGACCCGACACCCAAATATCAAGGGGGGGAGGGACCTGGGTAAACCCGCTATCAAGGCTGAGGGACTGACTAAACCCCAAACAAGGCGGGGACTGACCCAAAAAACTATTAAGGGTGGGTAAAAGGACTACCAGCAAACAAGGCCGTGGGACTGACTACCACAAACAAGGCTGTGGGAAAGGACCCACCCCTATCAAGGGGAGGGACTGATTTACCTCAAAATTTTCCTCTCTATTTTTTATTGTCCCCCATCTTTTAAAATTTTACCGGGTTTTAAAAAAAAAAAAAGCCTACTGCACTGTGAATCTTTTTCCCCTTTCCCCTAGATTAACTGTCCCCTCCATGTATCTCACTCATAAGTACTGTCCAGAGGGGTGGAATTCAGTCAGGAAAAGGGGGGGTTAACTCCCAAATTTATGGGGGGCAAGGGGCCCTTTACTAGCATAAAAGGGTTCCCATGGGTTTAAAGGGGAGTAATCTTTGATTACGATTATTTTTCTTTTATAAGGTGAGTGCTAAAACCCCCAGGGGTCCATGCCTGGGAATGGGCCTCAATCAGACTCCCAAGGGAAAAAAAGGTTTTAATTCTTTGGATCAAGAGCTCTTCCACAAACAATCAAGACCCCCCCATTTTTTAAAAGGGGAAAAGCCAATTTTTCATTATTAAATTAGTGGAAGCATAAAAACCCCGAGGGGTTATTTGGCACTTGGAGAAAAAGTCCACTTTTAAAGGGGGGGTAGAGACGAGTCCAATTCTTTGGGTCAAGCCCCTTTCCCCGCATCAAAGACCCTCCCCCTTTGGGGCCAACAAAAACAACCCCCAAAAACATGTCCCCCTCCCCATGATACAAATAATTAAAATTTTTTTTTAGGTACAGATACAGATAAATAAAAAGTTACAAAAATTATTATGGGATATAAAAATCATATATGTAAATTACCTGGGAAAAACTTCAAAATAATTTTAAAATTGTCTCCAAAAATCAATTATTGGCGCACCACCTGCACCTCCGAGGTCTGGGGGTCGGGTCCCCCACAGATGGAAACCTTAGGATTTGTTTCCTATCCATGCTCACCTATCAGTAAAATAGGTACCTGGGTGTTATTCGACTGGTGTGGGTCGCATCCTGGGGACAATTATTAAAATCATGGAGGAGCACTAAACCTGTAGGATTATACAGTGCCTGTGGGGGGGATGGGATGCATTCAGGTTCAATTCAGGGAACTGGAGCACAGATCCAATTCCCTAAATCAACAGCCCCTGAACAGCATCAAGGAACCTCCCTTGAGGGGATCCTGGGAACAAAACTGACTTAATTCGCTGGAAATGCCAAGCATAACAATCGGCTTTCTACATAGTAGTATATCACTGATGTATACGTTGTACACGTACTTGTAGAAATAAAGATTATTATTATTATTATTATTATTATTATTATTATTATTATTATTATTATTATTATTATTATTATTATTTCCCCTGGGGGCCCTTGACCATTAGGTTTATTTTAGGTACACGTACACATAAATACAGCTACACAAGTTATCATACCTAGCAACATATGTACAAATTCCCTAGAATAACCCCCCAAAAAATTCAAAATAACTCATTATAACTGAGGTGATGGAGTGTAACTCACCCATCAGGAGAGAACTCAAGGTTGAAGACTCCCCCGTGACCTATGAACCCAGTCTTGGGGTCATTCTCCCTGGGGTCCCAGGAGGTGCAGGGTATCATAGAGGAATATAATGACCTTCTGATAGCACTCTCCCAGCCTAGGGTGGCTCTCAGCCCAGCTTCCCTCCTCCTCAGCTCGTAGTCTGGGAAGCAGCTTCCGTACATCCTTCCTGACTTGACTTTAGGCATTATGGCACTGATTTACACCTGCATCCTCTCCTGGCACTGGTGCTGGGGGGTTATGGCATCCACCTGGGCACCTACCAGCGCTAATATAAGTAATTACAAGCAGCTGAGGCTTCCACTTCTAACAAAAACTTTCGAGGAGCTCCAAACCCAAACAAACATTTCTCAGACACTCACAACCTATTTTCTCTTCACATATATCAAAAAATACACAACTTCTAGCATTAAAATAGATAATACTCGGGAAATTATTTCCCTCCCAGTGGGTTTTAATCCCCAGGAAAGATTTTTTTTTTTGAGAGGGACACAGGCGAGAAAATATATTACACTTCCAGGAGACCGCGATAAACACCGCGAAATTCAAAATTGGTCAGTAGGTATAATTAGGTACACGTACACCTGAGTACACTTATATGTGGTGTAAATTACCTAGCATAACCCCCTTAAATAAGTCGGATAAAATGACTTATTTCCATTGGCATTCAACTATACCTTGCTAATAGTATAAGTATATACAAATAATTCATACCATGTATAAGCTACTGTATATTTTTTTTTCTGTGGATGAATTCATGTCTGCATAATAACTCACTGCGACTGTATACCTGGAGGATGTTCCGGGGGTGAACGCCCCCCACGGCCCGGTCCATGACCAGGCTCGTGGTGCATCAGGGCCTGATCAACCAGGCTTTACTATGGCAGTAATTGGACAATTTAGAAATTTTA